TTTTTCCCAGTTTATTTTGTGTCCCATTGACTTGGTGTGTTCTGCAACGGATGAGTTTTGTACTGTCTTTATGGTCTTGTCATGAGTTGTCTTCCCATTTCTCCAATGTATGTTTCGTTGCAGGAACACAGAATTTGATAAATGACGTTTTCATTGTTAGGTTTCTGTTTGTTTTTCACCAGAATGAATCTTAATATCTTGTAAGATTTCCACTGGACGTCTATGTTGAATTTCTTGGCTATGCATTTGAGTTTTTCCCTGGAATTTTGCAGTTAGGGGAGGTAAATGGTAGTGTTTTTTTTATCTTTTCTTTCTGTTGTGGTCTTCCCCAGGGAGTTTTTGATGAAGGAGGAGGTGTAATCATTCTGTTTAAAGCACTCTATGATCTTTTGGCATTCTGTTTCGATGGATGTCTTATCACAAATGCTTTCTGCTCTCTTGTTTAGGCATTTGATTATAACACGTTTTATTGACGTTGGATGATAGGACTGGAAGTGTAGGTATCTGTTCGTGTGGGTGGGTTTTCTGTATAAAGTTGAGGTGATTTTTCTCTCTTGTCTGCTGATGAGTATTTCAATAAACGGTAGGCTGTTTTGTTCCTCTATTTCCATGGTGAAGTGGATTCTTTTGTCTATAAAATTAAGATGTTCTAAGAAGTCTGGTAAGTTTTCATAACCATGAGGCCAGATAATAAAGGTGTCATCAACATAACATCTGTAGAAACTTGGTTTTATATGTATGGATGAAAGAACTCTTTCTTCAAAGTCTTCCATGAAAATGTCTGCTAGGATTGTAGAGTGACGATCCCATGGTTAGGCCATCTGTTTGTTCATATAATTCCTTGTTGTATTGAAAATAAGTTGATAGTAAGCAAATAGTCATTAGTTCCATGATGGCATCTATCTTCATGTCAGTTCTGCATGGTAGAGAGTTGTTATTCAGCAGTTGTCTGGTGATATGAAGGGTTTCTGAGATTATAACATTGGTAAATAGGTGTGTGACATCAAAACTGACCAAAATATACTGGGATCTGATGTGTAGCTTTCCAAGTTGTTCTATAAAATCTGTCAAGTTGTGAATGTGATGTTCAGTATTCCCTTGTAGCGGAGATAAGATAGGTACCAAGAAGGTAGCTAGTTGATGGCAAGGTGAGTTTATAGCACTGACGAAAAGCCTTAAAGGTATATTAGGTTTGTGTACCTTAGGTAGTCCATAGAACTGAGGGGGAAAATGTTTGTGAGTTCTTAAGTCTTTGGCTAGCTTCTCATTGATTAAGTTTTATCTTTTAAGTTTGTTCAATGTTCTACTGATGAGTCTCTCTGTCTTTTCTGTAGAGTCATTGGTGATCTTTTTGTATTGGTGTTTTTCTTGTATCTGCTTGATCTTCGTGTCATAATCTTTGACGTCTAGTATGACTATACTATTTCCTTCATCTGCTGGTATAATTTTGATAGTGTTGTCCTATTTTAGATGGTTCAAACACTGCATTCCTGTTTATTGATGTTCAGTTTTGATTTCTTAGCATTCCTGAGGATGGTGTAAGTTTGATGTCGGAATTGTTCAGCCATAGGTTTCGGGAGGTTTGGTGCAGCACATTCTAAGGTTCCAGCTATGTCAGTAGTTGTAACTATGCTAGGTTGTATGGCAAAGTACAGATCTAGGTTGAGAATCTTGTTTTCTGTGTCACTTAGTAATCTCAAACTGTAATTGTGAACTACATTTGTAGTTGTATGGTTATCTGTCTTGGTAAGTTTGTTGAATTTTTGTACTTGTTTCTTCTTCATGCTTTCTAGGTTAGATATATAGCATTTGGTGTAAAGGTTTAAGAAATCCAATGCTCTAGTATTTGTGGTGAAAAGTTGTGAACGCTCAGCATATTGTGTTCCAATTGTGTTGGTTATATGATGCTGCTGGTATTGTTGAGAACATTTTTTATCTCTGTAGTTCTGGCAAAAGTAGTTTCTTTGAGTATCAGAAAGTTCGGGATGATGTTCGAATTGCTGCAGCATAGTAGGAAGGTCAGGTGATTGGGGCACTGTGTAAGCTTGGCAAGGTTCTTATTGTAGTAGTTGATATTTCTGATAGAGGTTGGTCCATAACAGCTCTTTAGGTATTCTGTGATAGATTGTTTAGGAAGAGTATTCATGATGAAATTTAGTTGAATGGATGGAAACTGCCTATTGTAGAAACACAGTGTAGAGGACAATATTTTGAAAGTACTTCACCTTTTGTCTTTATGTCAGTATGTGTATGGTATTGTCAGTCTTTATAGTGTTCTGTTGAGATTGGATTGTGGAGAGCATGTTATGATTGGTTAGTTGTTCTTGTTTCTGATTGTCATCCATTCAACTACGTTTCATCATGAATACTCTGCCTGAACAATCTAAGTATACCTACAAAGATAATTTTCGAATAAGTTTTTTGTGGTACCTTATCAAATACCTTGTGAAAATACACCAAATCCATACCCCTACCCCCATCTACATATGCAGTAACCTTTTCAAAGAATGTCAAAAATTAGTAAAGCAACATTTTGCCCTATTGAAACCATGTGTACTATCTAACAAAATCTTAATCTTGCTAAATTACTTTGCAAAGCATCTTGTTTCAGTCTTTCAAAAACTTTGTCCACCATTGATATAAGATTGACAGGCCTATTATTACTTGGACAATTTTAATCACCTCCCTTGAAGAAATGAGTAACATTAGCCAACATCCAATCTTCTGATACCTGCCCAATATTCAAGAACTTAGCCAGTCCTTAACCTTAAGTTCTACAAAACCTTATTCAAATTAGGAATCATGTACGAGAATTAAGTAACAACCTTTGGCTTCTTATCTTAGTCAATAATACTGTGCCACATGTTTAACTCTTAAATGCCTGGGTACACTGATTCAATACAGTTATTGTATAGTTTGTTTTATTGGAATGCAAACAGAAAAAACTTATAAAGTAGTTTGAAATGAACTTTCTACAAAAAATGCAGCTTTTGCAAACAAATCTTATTTTTATACATTTTTATGGATTTGCAGCTTTAAAAATTAGAAAAGATTTCATTTAGATGTACTTCTAAATAATAACTAAATATGTTTATGTTAGTTGTAGACTTCAATTACCGATTTTAATGTCCTTCTACATTGTTGTAAAACTTTCCAATAGTTTTATTTATATATATTTAGTCTCTTGGGGTAGTTTCCAGAAGGAAAGTGTATATAATATTTCAATTCAACTACAATTTGCCTCTCATATCCATTGTTGATTAAATGTGTTGCCCAATACAGTATTAATCAGGCCGGTTGGGGCACAACAAAAAACAATAGTCAGCAGTAGTTGGGACATTTTAAATTTAAACTAAATATAATATTTTTAATACTAATGTCTTATGACGAGTATAACTTATTGTAAACATGTTTCGTCAGTTTAGAAAAAGTGTTACCACCATAATATTGACAATGGTTCTTATACCAATTGCCTTATAATTTTATATTTATAACAATATAACAATTTAGAGTAATTGGATAAACTTTATTTAAAAGTTAGTATTATACTTATATTTTTTGTTATAGTTACGGTATGAAAAAAACAGATATCGTAAGGAAGCAAATTACTATAAAAATAACTTACGTATAGAACACAGACGATGTTTTTTTTTTGGTGGTCTTAGCTTACCTTGGGTTATCGTTTCCTTCGAAGTTTTCCCTTTATTCTTAAGTACCAAATGCATAAAACAGAATCGTTAGGCCTAAACTACCAGACATCCATATGTTTCAGTATTTACGCTATCTGGTGAGCTTTACTCTCATATAAACACACAAAAGGTATATATTAAGTCATAAAACATTTTCACCCTGAAATGACAAAGCAAAAATCCAAAGAATTTTAATACATTTTTAATTCAGTACAACTGATTGTTCACTTGTCTATGCAAGTATGCACATTTTTGTTGTTGTTATGTCAAATAAACACAATTTTTCACTGTTTTTTAAATGTGTCCAATCTGTATATTTTTCACGTAACATTATATATATAGTCAAGCTATCAACTACAGAACTTCCTTTTTTATTGATCAAATTTGCTGTTATTGCAGGTTTACATGTCTGAAACTTGTCGAGAAATTGGGTTTCTCCAAATATATAATAAGAAGGCGAAAATTCACAGTAGTGCGGTATTCTCAAGTGCACTGAAATTCTTCAAGAATGCTCTGTTATGTTAGGAGAATAACAGAGAGCGTATCAAAGAGGAAATCTGAATTCTTTGACTTTTGACTGTGTTTCAAGAAATGAAAGAAACTGGTGACAGCGCATGGCGAATGAAACTATAACCTTTATTCAGATTATAAACATAAGCAAAACGTGTATATTTCTTGTATGTAGGCATACAATGTCCTCCTGTTATATGTAGTGGTATAATTCTTCTTCTTTTTTTTAAGTTATTGATTATTTAGTTTCTACACTGTCATGACGGGAAAACGTGGTCCAAGGTATTTAATATTATCCCATTCTTCAGCTCGTTCTTCTGATAGACGAAATTTTCTACCCACAAGAACATGTACCAGATATCAGTGGCTCTTCTTCTTGAGTCATCAGCTTTAATAAGATGGAAGTCACAGACCTTCACACTGTTGCGTCATCGAGATCACGTGACAATTCTCACGCTCTTTTGTTTCTAGAACTATCATGTACTTTGGCGAATGTTCTACTTCTTGCTAGATATA